CAATAACTAGCTTTGCTTAACGCTGCAAATCGGAGATCAATTCTTCTTCGCTGCTCTAAACAGTGGTTGCTTGTGGCAACACAGGAAGTTGTGCTGTTGCCACAAGCAACCACTGTTTAGAGCAGCGAAGAAGAAAGCGCGCGCTAGCAGTGTGTCCGCTGTTTGGCAGTGTTTAAGTCTGGACCAACCAGCCAGTAAAACGGCGACATGTCTCATATGCCATACTGCAATTTCGAGGGTGGCACAAGATTAGCAGCTTCAACACTTAAAGGGGTCATATAATGGTACATGCACTTTTACAAGTTGATTGTACTGAAATGTGTGTTGGCAGTGTCTGTACGCAGCCATCATATAATGATAAAAATCCATCCAGTGGTTTTGTTTTAATCTCCTTATATGTTTTCCCCTGCCTCAAATCGAGCCGTTCGAGCCTGTGACGTCACACGCTCGGACGCCCCTCCCACGATTGTTGAATGACAGCCAGCTGTCAATCATAGTCTGCGGACCGGCGCGGTCATTGTTGATACGCTGGAGCAGTGTCTATGAGCAGAATGGCGTCTAAGCGATTGTGGTGTTCTGTTCTTGGGTGTAATAACGAACACAGCAGTCATTTTAATGTTCCTAAATCCGAACCGCTGAAGACGCAGTGGCTGAGTTTGTTTTCGAAGGGAATATTCCCCAAGAGCAACGTCAATGCTCTCATGTTTGCGCGAATCATTTCTCACCAGACTGCTTTATAAACGAGGAGGTATAAAGCTGGTTTTGCTAAGAAGCTGCTCCTGAAAGGATCGGTACCATCTATTCGTGTTCCTGCAGCTGCTCCAGAAGAACGGAAGTGAGTGTAACGTGTTATTAAACTTTATATTAATATTTATATTAATCCTTGTAAATCGCTAGCTGCACGCTTCACAATGAATGCGTCTAAGGTTTACACTTAGGGTACATTACGGCATGTTTTCTATGTATGACGTTCTCAATATAATGCATAATCCCACGTTTATACTGAACAACGTGTTATGGTTATTGTGTTACAAACGGTGTACGCCAGAGCCGGCTCTGGTGTACGCATAGAACAGAGAGGCGGAGTCAGCAAAGCTCATGATCATTTAAAGTCATATACAATGAAACAGCGTGCTGAAAACAGAGCTGTTTTTTACCAGGTAAAATAAGTGTTTTCTTACAATACTAATGAGAATTTTTAATTAAAGTATATTACAAACTTTTAATTTAGACCCTAAAGAATCATATTAGCTTGTACAAAAATGGCATTATATGACCCCTTTAATAAAGCATTTGAAGACGCATCACCCCACAGAACACGATGGCAAGGGCAGAGAAGGATGAGCCGCGCCAGAATCAACAATCTCTGGAAGCTTCATTCAAACGAAGAGAAAAGTTTTCAAAAGACAGCCAACGAGCGATAAATATAACCCACAAAATTATCAAGTTTATTGTTCTGGATGACCAGCCGCTGTCAAAACTGAAATGCCATGTATTTAACAAAATTGTTTCTGGACTTGTAAGTTATAAAGAGGTTATTTTTTTATATATCATTTTTTTGATTCCTAGATTTATGTTGCACTTTTTTATACAGTTATATTGTAAATCTAAAATACCTTTTTCAGATTAAAGAATTAGATGTGTGGCTGCATTTTAAGTTCTTTTTCACTTAAGAAAAATAAATAATATATTGCTGTGAAATGTATGTCAGATAATAAAAATACTCTAGTTCACTGTATGTATTTGTTCATGTTTTATTAAGGGATAAGTCTGAAGCACACCATAAAATAATTCTATCAATTCATACAGGGCTAGTATGAATTGCAGCTGTAGCCTATAGATACACACCCAGGTATCGGATCAGTACTCGGTACTCGGAGTCCAGGTATCGGGAAGGGAAAAATGGTATCGGAACATCTCTAATCTCAAACAGATTCATTAAAAGTAGTTATTATCCACCACTTGAGTGACATCATTAACCAACGTGGTTGAACGTCCAATTTGCAACAATATGGTTTCGGGAAACAGTCGTGAGTAGCTAGTTGATTTCTTCAACAATGCATCGTACAATGGTAGTAAAGTAGCGTGTTACGTCGTTGTATGGGAAACGCACCACTGGCTAGGTTTGTTGATTGTCACGTTTGACTGCATGTTAGGAATATGGCTAAGTCCAAAAAGTTAGCAAGTCAAAGAAACACCTGCACAGTTCTCTGATCAGCCAGAAAGATGAACCCAAGAAAAGTCTTCTGTGGTCTTGCTGGATGGATCCGATTGCTTGGGTCAGCCCCAGACGTTAAGCAGCTTATCGTCCGGATGGTCTTTAGCCCTGCCTCGTGAAATAATTTGATCATTTGTTCGAGTTTTTGTTCTTTCTGCAGTCATATGATCCGCTTTAATGCAGTCTGAGGAACCATTCTCCAGATGCTTTTCTCTCCTCAGTTGTGTTTGCGGACATGACAAGACAAGATGTGCATCAGGACATTATGAAATCATAGGGCTGTTGAAACGGGAACAGGTTTTACGCACTCAAGATGCGTCTCATTTTGAAGGCTGCGTCCTCCTGAGGTCACATTTGTCGGCCGCATACATCATAAAGAACTGAGCAGTAACTATTATAAAAGTGTCTGTTATTCCTAGTGAAGCGTAAATTGTTGTAATTTTTTATGACTTGGGAATGTAGTGGTTAGTTCACTTAAATGAAGCAGCCTCAATGATGTATGCCGCCGACAAAGTGACCTCCAGAGGACGCAGTCTTCAAAATGAGACACAGCTTCATTCTTTTTATTTAAGCTTACACAAGACATCATCTCACAAAGGAAGAATGTTCATTGATCTTGTGAGAAAATATAGTGATGTGCTGTAAAAGCTTACTGTAATTTCCAAGGCTTTTTTTTTTTTGCAAAATGTTGAGGTTATGTGAAACTTTAAAGTAAGGGTTAGTGAGTGACCAGATCACAATTCTGCAGTTAATGTCGACTTGTTCACATTATGAGAGCATATGATGAGACTTAACAAGCTCTCATCACAGAAGGTCTTGTGATTCCAATGTCACATTAAATCTACATTACCAAGCATTGAAATATTTTACTGTCAGATAAAAAATAGAGCATGACAATTTTAAAGACTAAAGTGACCGATAATGATCGTCTCTAGTGTTAAATACCACCATGGGTTATGTAACACAACTTTTAACTGAATGATGTCTCTGTATGGTAGTTCTAAGGCACTCGATTAACAGTGTAAAGAAACTTGACAAATGTGAGTGGAAATAAAAGCTATTGTGTAGATGCATTCAAGTGTAAGAAGGTGCTTTTTCCTCATTTAATCTCCAGGATTTCAGCATTTATGGACTCTCATGACCAATAACAAATAAAATTGGTTTAAGAAGCATATTTACTTTTCTAAGACAGATATGCAGCACTTTTCACACTTCTTTTTTTAGTTTCCTGTTACTAAATCAGCACTGTTGCATCAATGAAAACGCTCGCCTTTTAACGAAATGCTTGAAAAATAATGGTCTCTTGATGTACTTTGTCGACTAATGGTTTGGGGTTCGCTGAAGTCAGCATGAATGTTAATGACAATAATTGATGAAAATATCAGCTGTGTGCAAAGTAACCCACATTTGGTTTTCGATCACAGAAAATGGGTAAAATTCAACAATTTGAACATGGAGCTGCATTGAGATCCCCATATCTATGGGACTGAACTATCTATGGCCTTGAAAAGGAAGTGTTCAAAAGGAAAGTTTATTAAGAATGAGAATCTAGAAGGATATTAAGATATCTTGAATACTTTTAGTTACAAGCATGCAAACTTTGGAAAAAGAATATTTATGGCACTCATCAGGTATGTTCTATGCAATTGTGTTGATAGAAAAACAAGAAGAAATATTCTTATTTCTCTTTAAAAGAAAAAAAGTATTAGCTGTAATACAAAGTGACCCACGTTTGATTTTCGACCACTGAAAATGTGTACAATTTTACCAATTTACTTGTGGAGCCACCCTGAGATCACCATATCTCTGGGATTGAACCATAGAGGGCCTTTAAAATGAAGATGCCAAAAGGAAAGTTTGTTAAGAAAGAACCAGAATTGAAAGGGATATTAAGATATCTTTAATACTTTTTGAGTTACAGGCATGCAAACTTGAGGCAAAAAACCACAAGTGCCTTTTGTTATTTTTGTACTGTCAATGTTGGCATATAATGCAACAGATTTTACTAATAGACCTACCAACCTCTGTGTAAAAATAAAATAATGATGTTGCTATCTTTCTAAAGTCATTTTTACACCCTCTAATTTGGCTCCAAATCTCAGGTGAAATTTGTCATTTTGACCCCCCTCTACAAAAAGTGGATTACTCATTAAATATACATCTGTGACATTTAATATTTTGGCTTTTATCACGATTTCTGTTTATCTTTGTACAGAAAAAAATGATTTAATAAAATAAAAAGATCGAGCAGGGGAAGTTTACAAAATGTGGTTGATTTGACATGGAATGACCCCTAGCCATAACCAAGGCTGCATTTATCTGATAAAAAAAAAACAGTAATGTTGTGAAATATTATTTGCAATTTAAAATAACTGTTGTCTACTGTAATATATTTTGAAATGTAACTTATTCCTGTGATGAAAGCTGAATTTTCAGCATGATCTTTCGGAAATCATTATTATATGCTGATTTGCTGCTCAAGAAACATTTCTGATTATTATCAATGTTGAAAAGAGTTGTTGCTTCGTATTTTTGGGGAAACTGTGATGCATTTTTTTCAAGATTATTTGATGAATAGGAAGTTCAAAAGAACACAATTTTTTTCAATAGAAACTTTTGTAACATTATAAATGTCTTACTGTCACTTTTAATCAATTTAATGCTCCTTGCTGAATAAAAGTATTAACTTCTTCCAAAACAAATCTTACTGACCCCAAACCTTTGAATGGCATTGTATATCAATGATACTACAATAACACTGCTCTGTGTTTGTCCATCGCAGGTCCTCACTCAGCTCTCAGTATGTCCGATGGGGACTATGATTATCTCATCAAGTTCCTCGCACTGGGGGACTCTGGGGTGGGAAAGACCAGCTTTCTATATCAGTACACAGACAGCAAATTCAACTCCAAATTCATCACCACAGTGGGAATAGACTTCAGAGAAAAACGTGTGGTGAGTGTTTTTATTACTGGAACTAAAATGACATTGACATCTTAGTTATATTGATGTTTATTATACTCCCTTTGATGTGTATATGCATGCATTGCTATTTATATGTTGACATTTTAACTTATTTAGCTTTGAGTATTCAGCTATGTGGTATATTTATAGTTCTATGCAAATGAGATGCCTTTATCAGGTCTCATTGGTTTAGACGTTTCCTGCTTGATTTGTAATGGAGGTTTAGTGTTTTGGAGTCCCGGCCGGGGTTAACTGGACTGTGAAATCCCATCGTCCTGTTCAGCTCTGCACATGGAATCTTGCCCAGAGGTTAAAAACAGCAATTCATGTGTAAATCGCAGCCTCAGGTGCAGGGGGATATACACAGGTTCGTCTGAACACGGTCATGAATACTAGATGCAGAAAAAACACATGCAAAACACTGCACGCCTGCGAAAGCAAACAGACGTTCTCGGAGTAATTATGCTTTTCCTGAATGCAATACGATGCCTAAGGCTGCTTAATTTGTTGGGTACACGCTACGACAAGAGGCAGTCCACATAATCCACATGATACACACCTTAAAATATGTCAGATAGATAGATAGATGGATGGATGGATACACAGTATATACAGGATACAATAATATGCACATTAATAATATTTATTATGTAATATAATATGTGCAATCAACTAATTGTTGTAGTAAAATTAACTATTATTTTTAAGTTTATTCTCTTAAAGGGCTTTATTTTATGATAATGACTAAACTACATTATCCCACCTATTACATGACTTCTTATCAAATAAAATACATGGGCATAAATATTGATTAAAGTAGAAGCTATTTTATTGGATAAAAAGATGGGAAGAAAGAGTGTGGCGTGATATGCAAGACTTGAATCTAGCAGCTGTAAATCTGCATTTGACCAATCAGAATCAAGTATTTTACAGAGACATTCAACAAAGTGTAAGGACTGGGCCAGGGTGAATCTGAATAACTAAATACCTTCGTGCTAAAATCCCAAAGCCTTTAGCCCCAAAAGGCCTGGAACTTGAAAAAACACACACAAACACACACACACACACACACACACACACACACCTCCCCCACAAATGAAGCCTGCTCAGGACAGAGCGTGGTTTCCTGTTACGAGACACTTGTATGACTGACTTGGAATTTGATGTTCAAAGAGAAAGAAACTTCTTTTCTTTAAAAGACATTTAACCCGATATATTCGATGTGTTTTTATGTGTGTCCATTTGCCCATGTCACATTGTAATGACTATAATTTGTCCGTAACTTAAAAGTGAATTATAAATACCCTAGGTGTATTTTTAATGTAAATGTTTACCTATAACAGTCGTGTTTGATATCGTAAAAATGCCCTTGACTTGACTCAGCCAGATATATGTATGAACACACCGTAAAAGGTATGATTATGTGCATAACACATCTCTGCAGTAGAAATGACCCTTCCTAACACAGGTCATAATTTAATTAGACAAGCAGTCTGACAAGACAAAGAGAAATAAAACCCAAAGTCCCGCCTGTAAACTTCCAACCCTCTAATTGGCCAAGCCAACAGGAAGAGGCTGGATTTCTCATAGTGTGATAAATGACGCTTCTCCCCTTTGCTCGCTCTCTTCCTCCCGTGTCCTCGTGTCATGATGTAACGTCTCGCCTCCGGGCGAGCTCTTCGCCTTTCTTTTATTTGTTTCTAGTTTAGTTGTGTTTTTCATTTGTAGATAAGTCTCTGTGTTTAATTCCAATCGACGATTGAAAAGAAAACCCCGTGACATATCTCTTCAGCAAATCCATCTACAAGGGACCTTTAAACGAGCGCGCGCTCTCTTTGAAGGAGAAACACGCGCACGTGACCACGTGACGCGCCGGACGGAGAGACACACACGCTTCTTCACAAGCCATGGAAAGATGCAACGTTAACTCCGCGTGATTTCCCCGTAGAGATCTTTATTCCCTTTTTGTTAGTCAAAGTTTTGTTTTCCGTAGCCGACTCAGTTCACTTCCACGAAGTGAAACGAACTTAGCCGAACTATTTCCCTTTGGAAATGTTACAACAAAGACTGTGAACCTCCGTTCAACACGCGCGCCAAGCAGCCCACGTGATGCTTCCTCACACACAAAGGAATCCTCTCACGCACGCGGCCAGACAAGGCCGCGCAGGATTTCCGCGACACAGAGAGAGACCATAACATAAGTTGATTGCAGGTATATCTCTTTATAGAGCTTCTAAGAAGTTTTAAGATGATGTTTCGTGTTGTTATCAGAGAGGTGAATGCATGGGCGTCAGTTTGGTTTGAAATGTGGTGGGGACAGAGACGCATTCGGAAGGGCATTTTCAAAAGTGCTGGGTACAATGACGCATTCATTCTTTTTTCTCTTTCGCGCAGGTCATGGTTTGAAAGACGATGTCCTGTAGCTTACTGATTTAAATAAATAAAAATGTATACAAAGATGTGATGATGTCCGACCAAAAATGTGATGGTACTTTGGGTTTAAATTTAATTGGTCGTAAAATGAGATCTAATATAATGTTGTTAGTATCGTGAATTTTTACGTGAATATATACATAGATCCGCCTACGTTGCTTATGTACTGTAATGGTCCAGTGGCGGAATATTTGCCAAGCGTGTCGGAGGTTGACGGTTCTAATCCGCACTCGTATAGTATTTTTTCCCCTCATCAAAACCTAATGTTTATCAGTGGTTGTATATCAAGAATCTTGATATACTTTATCACTGATAAACATTATCGGTTTTGATGAGGGGGGAAAAAAAACTATACGAGTGCGGATGGATTAGAACCCAGAGAAGCAGGGACACGTTTGTGTGCATTTTGAATTGTGATTTCTCTGGAACGAATAGAATCTCTGCAACGGATTGAAGCGCGCGTCCGAGTGAAGACAACACATTTCAGCGCTAGATCGCCTCTTATTTAACAAATGAATGAAACGAATGCTGCTAGTTAACTGGAGATGTTTTATTTGTATTGGTACCTGTGACGCGAGATGTTTCAAAAGTGGTGGGGACAATATCGACCCTGGCAAAAAGTGGTGGGGACATGTCCCACCCGTCCCCCCCGTAAATGACGCCTATGGGTGAATGTCTTCCTGCCAATGAAATTCTCCCAATTTCTCTGTTCTCTCTCTCCCCATCCCCTTTCCTCTCTCTCTTACTCGCTCACGCGTGTAAGTTATCAATTGTCCAAACTTTATGCATTTCTCGTTCAGTGATGTCTTATTGTATTGTTCATTGTTGTCTATGTGTTTGTAAATACATATATCCCATGTAACCGTAGTAAATACATAAGTAGTCATGCCTCTATTAAATTAATTATATATTCATTAGATTGATGTGCTGTCTCTTTGCTCAATTTCAAGTCACTTAAGTGCCAAAGGTCTAAATGCTACAAGCTTTACGAATTACAGATACTTTAAAGAGTAACGTTAACGTTATGTGTTGATGGGCGGGAAACCCAATTCTTCTGGCCAGAGAATTGCGTTTCCTGACATCCTATAAAGTAAGATGATATTGTGGATCCCACAAATATTATCCTGACAATTGAGCTAATTCATTTTACCTGTTTGTGAAACATGGCCCGTGTAATTAACTGCAAGCAACTTGTGGTTAATTTCCGGGATTCACATGCACGCATGCAGGTAGAATGACCGATCCTCCCTTATCGGGAGATTTATTAACATGTAAGACAGATCTAATCCAAACATGTATGAATAATTATTAATTACCAATTATTAATTATGATATGCAAATTCCCCACGGATTAGATCCGCCCTGAATCCTTACAAAAGAGTGCATTAGTGACCGCCCAAATTTTTAATGGCCTTGGAGTTTTCCTATACATTTTTCCCATAGGGATTTTTAAAGTTATAAGCCATGATTTAGACCTTGATTTAGGAGCTGAACAAAAAAAAAACAAAGGTACTTTAGTGAGGGAAAGAATTACAATTCCAAGCCATTGTGAATGATATAATCAAATTCAAAACAATGTAGAAATATAAAACTACTGGTTTAAAGATATAAACTCAGCAAAAAAAGAATCACACAGTTGGATCCTGTAACGTTCTACTCTGAGCTGTCCCCGTCCCCGGATTAATGCCTTTCTATGGCACACAGTAAATGCCAAAATGAATCTGCAGCAGTCAGGTGGTACAAGTCAGCGCTTGTACTTCTTTTCATTTATTATATTTGTAATGTTATGTGCTTTGAGACCTGAGGTAATTTAACGCCGCCTCTCGTGTCGTGACACTTTGCAGACTGTATTTTGAAGGAGGCGTGGCTTTGGAGATGCTCTGAAGGGAAGGTGGGATCTTATGCTTTCAAAGCTAGCTTGCTATTGCTAGCCTCTCCAATATTGCCTAAATTAGCTTTAAAGAGACCTTTCTACTGACTCTGAAAAACACCAGGAGAAAGATGCCCAGGGTCCCTAAGGGTTGTGAACAAGTCCTGCTGCAGGAGGCACGAAGACTGCAGATAGACAGAGCTATAAACTGCAATGTTTGTAATGTGAGACAGTGCAACAGGAAAACACATACTGACTGCTACTTTTGATATTGACCCCACTTTCATCAGGGACTCTTTATTATTTCAATTCTGTTCGTCAGATGTCTGTGAAATTTGTTCAGTTTATGTCTGTTGTTGGATCTTTTTCTGTTCATACAAATATTTACCTTTGTAGTTTATATAGCCTAGGTTTGTAGTTTGAGCGCGTGACTATCACGTCATGTCTTTCACCCAGGAATTCCACTGTTAAACATGATTTGATTAAATAATTGTATTTTTCAAAATATTATTTTAAATCTATATAATATTTAAAATATTAGTTTAAAGTAGTGCTTAAGATTACATTTATTTGAATGAATAAATTATAGCATTTATTTTAATTATCGAGATTTGTCTGTCTTTCAATTAACATATAGCGTTGTAACCCCTTGTTGCTGAGATAATGTAGCGATTTAGTAGCGAAACAATTTTATTAATAAAAGTCGTGGGGCAGCGTTGATGAGTTTCTATGCTTCTGAATGTTTCTGTGCGAGGCGCGATCTCCGCTTTATGTGCGAATGACGTTATGCGTGTGCTTCAACAGTGATTGAACTGACTTAGTTGGAACTACCTCTGCATTAAACGGTTTTATTGCACACCTTCCAGCCAATCAGAATCGAGTATTCAGACAGACCATGATATATATATATATATATATATATATATATATATATATTATTTATTTTTTAAATTTAAAATATTATTTTGAAAAGCTTCAACAAAAGCATATACCATTGATTAAAGGAATAGTTCACCAAAAAAGGAAAATTGTCATTAATTACTCACCCTCAAGTTGTTCCAAACCTGTATGAGTTTTTTTTCTTTTGTTGAAGATATTTTGAAAAATGTTGGCAACCAGACAGTTGACGGTAGCCATTGACTTCCATAGTAGGAAAAAAAAAAAATACTATGGAAGTCAATGGCTACCGTCAACTGTCTAGTTACCAACATTCTTCGAAATATCTTCTTTTGTTTTCAACAGAAGAAAAAAACAACATGATGACACAGTTTTAAATTGTGGGTGAACTATCCCTTTAACAACCTCGTAGCTTACAGTAGGGTTGTCTTTGATTTTTCACAATAATTTATAAACCATTAGTTTCCCTTTGAAAAAAATGAATGGGATTTTTACATACAGACTGTTGCACTCAAAACCATGCCATGGTAAAAAGAACTGACTGAACATTTGCTTTGAGAAAACTGAATCGGGATGGCTGGTATAGATACGGAAATGTGAATTCAGTAGAGCAGATTGTGTGTGTGTTTTAGGAGAAAGATCCTCCCACCTTCATATGGCATAATAGAGCAGGGATCCCTCCTTAAGAACAAACACTTCAGCACTTAAGACATCAAACAAATGCTGATCGTTCAGGGCCACGCGATCAAGAGTCATACTAATGAGACACTTCCAGCACTGAATCATCAAGTGTGCATTTCGTGGTTGTGTTTGACTAAGTCAAAAGTAAATTCAAGTTTCCTGGAACTGCATACCACAAAAACACACACGGCAACCACGTAGTAACACCCTGGCAACCACCACAACACTGTAGCTTTGTGGTAGCACATTTTGCATCAGGCAAACCTCACATTTTCTGCAGAGAATATAGTTTCTTTGTCGAAGTGGCCAGGATTTTCAAGCATTATGCACTAATATAGTCTTTTACGGGTCTCTAAATAAGGTATACAAATCCAACGGTCCTGATGGCACAGCCGGGAGAGGTCAGAGGATCCACATTCAGCTGTGGGATACAGCCGGACAGGAGAGGTGAGATGCAGATCAATACTTGTGCTTTACTTCCTAACATGCACTCAATGAAAGAAATTGTCAAAGAGGTTTTATTTAACGTTCTGGCCGGTTTTTCACTGTTGTGCGACCCGTGTCTTCTCCTCTAAACGCTCATGCAGATTTCGGAGTTTGACCACAGCGTTCTTCAGGGATGCCATGGGTTTCCTGTTGCTCTTTGACCTCACGAGCGAGCAGAGCTTCCTTAATGTGCGGAACTGGATGAGTATGTCCTTCATACCTTACTGAGTCCAGACTCACTGAAACCAACACATGAGATTCATACATATACACACTGCAGACCTTATTTTGTTTTTTTACCACATTTAAAGAGTAGCTACATACATTTTCCTCATACATTTATTTAACAAATTATTTGCATCAAATTCACAAATTACCCTCCCAAAAATAATTTTTCTTTTTATCTAGCAGCTTAGAATAGTTGCCCATCTAATTGTTAGAATAATAAATTGTATTTAAAATAACAATTTAATACAATTTGATGAACTGTATTAACTAGCAGCTTAGAGTGGTTGAATTTTTTTTTATAATAATAAAAATAACAAATTATTGAAATATTTTTATAAATACTTTTGTGTACAATTTTGTAAAAAAAAATTAACTAGCAGCTTATAGTGATTGGCCATATAATAAAAAAAATAATAATAATAATTATTATTATTATTAGATGGGTAGCTGCTATTTATTATCATTATGATTATAAATAATCTTTCAAATAATAATTGCTAATGAACTTCTGTGATGTCTTGTGCAGGTCAGCTGCAGACGCATGCGTACTGCGAGAATCCCGACATTGTCTTGTGTGGAAACAAATCCGACCTGGGGGACCAGCGCGCAGTGAAAGCGGACAATGCACGAGAACTGGCCGAAAAATATGGGTGAGACGCCACATTCACCTGATCCATCAGACCCGAAGAATCTTGCCCTGTATCTTTCACACATGACCTCGTCTGCTTCGAAAAGCAATCGTTTTTTTATTATAGACTTTAGGACAGAAATGCTTCACTACTCGCCTGTGGAATGATCTGTTGATTGAAAGTATTTAGGTTTCGTAGTATTCAGATTCAGTGGTGCCGGATCAAGTTATGAAGCAGAGGGCTGCTGGCAAGTTAGTTACAAGGTCATCACATCACATACTAATTTGATTGTGGTGATAAAATGACAGGAAATGCTAGGGAAGTTGTATGGGTTTGCCTGATGAAGACAGATTCCCAGGCGTGCCGTAACGTGCAGACATGTGAAATGATTTGCTGGTGTGTGCGAGTCGTATCTTAATGTAGGTCTTCATACGTGTTCACAGGGTGCGGGCGACTCCAAGGATGTTTGTTTTAAGGGCCGTGTCTGTACCGTGTTTGCCTAAGATGAGGGCATCTCTCGTTAAATGTGACACTTTAAGATGGCGGTATACCGAAAAGCTAATATTTACTGTGTTTAATGTGAGGAGTCTTCAGTTTAGAAAAGCACTTGCATGCTCGGTAATAGTAATGTTTGGTATTACTTCAGAAGTCTTTTATGGCATTTTGGCCTCAAGAACAGATTTTAGGTGTCAGGAAAAGTAGATTTTCTTTGCTCTTAATAATGTTCAGTACAGTTTTATATCAAGTTACATTGAAACCTTAAGAGGCACTTGTTAAACTTGTCATCCTTTTGACATATTTCGATGTACTGACTTTGAGTTAGTTATGTCAAAAAAAAGTTATCTATATATCTGTTGTCTACACTGCACATTTAGATATTTACTGAGTCAATCATATTGACAATGTGTTTATCCCTAGTTCTCAGCAGTGTGCAGTGACTCATCTGTTAAATGTTATCAGAGTGTCCATCGAGTGTGTTGACTGATCCTCACATCTAAACTCCTCCCAGGCTTGTCTTTGTACAAACAATAGAGACATTTGAATCTATCATTGCTGGGGTTCTCAATCTTTTTTGCTCTATAGCCCTATTCGGGGCAGTAATTGTTTCTCATGTGGTCGTCTGTAAAAAAATTAATTTGCATAGCACCTCAGTGATAACTCATGCATTCGAATGGCGTTTTATTGACTGTGTAGGAGCGAGTTTTGTAATCCCGCAAACACGCTGCTCACGTGGTTAGTCGTATGATTGTCTGCTGTAAATAAAATGTCATATGCTTGGAATAATACAAATAAATTCATATTTAATTTAATAGGAAAATAACGTTCGATTTCTTATTTTATTATTTAAATCCAATTTAATCTTACATCCTTGCATTTTATCCCAAAAGGATGTCATTTTAAAAATATGGAAATTAGCGGAAAGAAGTTAAAGGTACAATATGTAGGATTTTTCGCCACCAGGGGTCGCTAACCTCTTACAATAACACAGGCGTATATTGATGACGCAAAGCATTAAGCGGAATTATGGATCTTGTCGTCAAGCTGATGGATCTTTTATGGATGAGTGAATACATTGATGTTTTTAACATGACTGTGGTTTGAAGCAGGGCACGATTGCTAATGAGAGACGTATACCAGCGCCACACGCAACGCGAGTCGCGCAGATATAAAGGAATAATTGACATTTCATTCTAACGAACTACACGCAAGTGCTGAATTAATACCCACACAGGTCAGTTTATTAGACGAATTAGACTTGAGGTAACGCAGCGCTGTTTCACTTGTTCTAACAGTTACACTATCACACTAAACTGCATTTGAGTGTGTTGAATGTTGTTAGTTAGGTTGTTTGTTGGCTGTATGAGACTAGCAGTAAGCTAGATCAACATAAGAATAACATACAGATCATATTCTAACATTTCATCATGTTGAACTAAATAACATTGATTAGTTTTATGTACATTTGCTCACCTGTCTAATAAAGTACATGCAACACTCGCGTCTCTGTCAAGTCGAAGTTAGTCGCGGACGTGGAGCTCTCGGCATCTCTAAAGATTTTGATCTTCATTTTAGTCTCTTCGTTTCTCAGTCTGCTTGCCATGGTCCATAATGTTTGAACAAAACAACAACAGCGTGAGCGTCCTGCTAGGCATAACCCAGTTGTCCACGTCTGTCGCCATGGTTACTATGGCGGTACGAGCGGAAACCGAGGGTAACGCAGATATGACGCCATTGACTGGCGACTCCCTCACCCCTGTTCACACGCCCCGCAATTCTCACGATTTACAAATAGTTGGAAACATTTGGGATATTATAAGTAATCAACTAAACAAAATATATAACATTGGCCTAGTGGTTTTTGGATATTTTACTGCAAAAATCCTACATATTACCTTTAATGCAGCCTCTTATTTACTTGAGGTAAAAATAAGGCTGCTTGATTTGTATTTTTAATGTTGTGTATAATAGCCTACATATTTTAAAATTGTATCATATATTGCTGCCACAATAACAGCCCATTTCTAATGTTTACGTGCTTTTTTTCTCTTTCTCCTTTTTGTTCGCTGAGGTGGAGCTGTGATGGATTATTGTTCTCGTAAATATTTTCCAGCATTTCAGTAATAGAAGTGTACATCGTACATACGGTGCTCAGGAGTGATCAAAAAGGATTTAAACAGTGAATTTTGAAGTGATCTCTTCTTGTAAACTCAGAGATGTGGATTCGGACAACAATTAAATCACCACACGACCTTGGTGTCAGTAGGTAAACAGTGGGTAATTTGGCCGGGGATTTTTACGCGGGTGGTGGAATAAAAACACTGACATTCTGGATTCGAACGGCAATAAAATCACAGACTAACCCCTGTAAATGTTGAAAATACCTTACACAACCCCATGAGAAACAATTACCGTCCAAATAGGGCGTTTGACTTATTATTATTTTAAACAAAAAAGTTACATGGTGTTCCTTAGAATTTTTTTTGTCAATACATCATTAATCTTTCTTCCAAAACATGTTTTGTCTTCCCCTGATTCACTATGGTAAGCCTATTGTAAGTGTTTATATTTTAGACCAGGTGGGATGGTTTTCGCGGGAAATTGCATAGCGTCATATCTGTGCGTGTCCCATCATATAGTTGTCCCAACGGGCGAGAAAGGTTGACATAAAGTATGCTAAAGCCTGAACCCCTGGGAATCACCCATTTAAAAAAAAAAAAAAACAGAACAGAGGGGAGAGTCTGCTGGCAAAAAGAGAACACAACAGAGCTCGTGATAAAACAAGAATCAGCATTGGCTTGCCTTTTCAGATATGGCGAGAACTGAGGGATTTGAAATGTTGTACGGACGAGTAAGGTATTTTATTGAACAGATACATTGCCTTATGTAGCTCTTTTACAGAGTTCATTTTAAAGCATTATCTATTGTGAGGGTCATTTCGTTATGGTTGTTGTAGCGCTGTGCTGGAATTTATTTTCAAGGAAGTACTGTGTCTATTAATGGGTATGGCTACAGTAATGTCTTCAGATAGTCAACTTTATATCCTTTCCAACTGATTACATCTTTTAAGCCTTCAGTTCACATTAAGCTGGGACCATTAAGCTAAATTCATTTTAAAACATTCATATAGAAAATGTTTTCTAAAAGAAGTTATTTTAAATTATAAGAACATTTCACAATATTACTGTTTTCATTGTATTTTGGTCAAATAAATGCTGCCGGGTAAGCATAAGAGACTTCTTTCAAAAAAATGTTTAAAAATATTGTGTTCTATTATTATAATATTTAAAAAATATATAATGTAGTATATCATAATTATTTTTATTAATATTATTTTTAACTAGTAGCTCAGAGTGGATGCCCATCTAATAATAATACTTATAATGTTTGAAAAAAGAAAGTATAAAATCATTGTCTGAAGTATAAAATCATTGGTTACCCGTAAGCCAATCACATAACGTTTGGTTATGACGTGTGTTATTCGCCAGCTCAGCCGCATCGAACTTCCACTGTAAACACATGTATGATGCGAAAACGAAACCATCGAGCGAAATACCGGAGTGAATATGGCTGACCGAGTTTTGCTGCCTCCTTAACCTGATCCTCCATGAGTGCAACCAAGGGGGACACAATCACAACTATCGCCTTGCCGGCCTTTGGACACGGGCATTTTTATAACCGTGACTTTTTTTACGCGGTTCGGCCGTTCGTCCACACGAAAACGCACTGAAACCGAACATTTTTTAAAACCCCTGCCAGGGTGAGGATTTTCAGAAACGCCGGTTACAGTGTTGTCGTGTAGACAGTGAAACCGGGGTTTTTGCCTTGCGACGTCAGAGCGTGCGCCGTTATCCGCTGTGTTTGACGTCAGATTTGCGCTTCTGATTGGCCAACGTGGCTTTACGGTTAAGGGTTATATCGCCGCCTGCTGGCGTGGCATGCTCTTGACCGCGCTTGATAGCGTGTTTTTGCGTTTTCATGTAGACGAAGACCGAGCATGTGTGGATGGGATTTTTTTTTTAAAACGCTGTAGGAAAAACTCCGGTTATAAAAATACCCGTGTCCGTGTGGACAAGGCCTAAAATGTTTAACAAACACTCTTCTTGTCGGGCTTCAGTTTGCAAATGCTGGGAATATTCTCCACAACAGAGCGAATTGCATCCCGTGTCTCCATATCCGCGGTCACAATCTTAAACTCTGTGCTTAGCGTCTACGTCACGGCTCTCAGCCTGCCCTCTGTTCGTTGATTGGCCGGCTGTTTTCAGGCCGGAGGAAAACTGAGAGACATGTCGATGTCTCAGACTGAGTAGAGAAGCGAACTGAAATAGAGCGGAAGTACGAAGTCTGAAGTACGCAGGCTATATTGAATGAACTATATCAATGAAAGCAACTACTGAAAAAATTACTATTTTATCCAATATCTGTTTTTATGCTTTGAGAACTATATCAGTAGCTTAGCAACATCCTAGTTCCAAAATCCGTTGGAATCCATTTCATTTTTCTTCTTCTTGCAGTGTCCCGTACTTTGAGACAAGCGCTGCGAACGGTGAAAACGTGAGCCATGCTGTGGAAGTTCTGCTGGATTTGATCATGAAGCGCATGGAGAGATGTGTGGACAAATCCTGGATACCTGACGGAACGGTTCGCACCAATGGTCACAGCACCAGCGACCTGGCAGAACCGCGGGACACAGACCAGAGCAAGTGTGCCTGCTAATGTAATGATCCTCCCTGTGGGCCTCTGCTTCCAGATGCACCGAAGGCTCTCTGATCTCTTTCATCAGTAGTAGTATACATTACAGTTTAATTCAGTGGATGTAGAGGATAAGAGACCCTGCCCTGCATTTAACCAGGGGTCGCCACATCCTCACTTAGTTTTTCTCAGAATGGACTAAAGCCACCTACATTGTTATCAAGCTTTCGGCTGGTTACCAGTCTCCACGTTTTGAGAGCACTTTACACCAAATCCTTCATTCAAAACCCTTTATACATCAGACTACATGTGTATCAAGGGCTTGATTTCTCTCACTGTGTGTGTTTCACTGTTATTGCACATTTACTGTTAAAGCAGTTGTTAGAAAATTAGGTTTGTGTTGATTTCTAAATGAAAACCTCACCTCTCAAAATTATATAAATGCATTTAGAAAATATACATTAAACAATTATTGTCATTATCTCACCCCGTCATTTGAAACCCATTTGACTTTAAAAAACAACAACAAGAAGAGAAATAAGAAAAACATATGAACTTAAAACGATGAGGGTGAATGGGGTAAATTGACAGAATTGTCATTAATTGGTGAACTGTTCCTTTAATAACTTGTGCTGGTTGTCCCCCTCTAGTGGACGGATGGTGAATCGCATGTCCTTCAAATTTGTAGAACACTTTTAAATGTGTTACTATGTTATCTCTAGTCTTGTAGATGTGTCAGACACATAGAATAAGTATTTAGATGTTATCGTATTCATATTTAGATTAGTGGTTGGTTTATGTTGTATATTTGTTTAGACATTCACCAGGTGTTGGTTTTTTTTATTTTATTTTTTTTATTATTATTTCTGGACTGGTTCGTGTAGCTTTACTGCCACTTCATTTAATCATGGGATTTGATTTGGAATGTTGTTTAGATCAAATATCCACATCTATACTGTAAATTATGGTTAAAGTTCATACTTTATTTTTTTTTAAAGGGTTTGCAAAGTGCCAGAAGATTCTGCAAATCTCATCTCTTCAGTCCCTCAATTTCACAAAAGTAAAACAAAAGAAATCTGAGTGAATTTGTTTTTAATCTTCTGTTAACATTTTGGTTTAGTTTACACAATTTCCAAAGTGCTTTATTTTACTGTAGTGCCTGTAACACTGTATCATTGCCAAACACTGTCTTTTGTGCCAAATACTGAAACTCTATTTGAGAAAATAAATATATTTTATTTATTATTATGATGTTGTCATGCACCCTTTTGAAATGCATTACTTGTGAGCTGACTCGTGAGCCGACTCGTTGAAATGGCGGTAATCTACATGCTTGACTGATGAAATCTGAAATTGCAGCACAGACCCACAAATTACCCATGGTTTTGTTTTGCACTTTAACTTAAGACATTGGTTGCCTCACAAAGAATTTCTGTTTTTAGTTTGCCAATGCGCTTACAATCTTTATCCAACTGCAGCCTCAATCAAAGAAAACTGGAAGTACTTGGAAAGTAGATTAGGGATGCAGCGATTACCGGATTTCACAATTAACCGCGCTTTAAAACGTCACGGTTAATTAATCGTAAAGACTATGCTACACCGAGTGTTCTGCAAAGTACGGAACTTTTGCACCTAACACAAAACGAAAACAAAGTTACACCAGCGGTGCACCAGCTTAAAGTGCCGTGCTCGTCAACCACTATGGCAGAGGGACTAAGCAGCGACGCTCTATTTCCACCGAAAAAACACCTTAAGTGCGTGTTCACATATCGCGTCTTTTGCGCGCTCAAGTTCGTTATTTCAAATGTAGGCGCGCGGTTTTCGCGCTCATAATGGAAGCGACGCGCTCGTTTTTTCCAAGCGCGTCCGCGCCGCATCTAGATAAAAACATCTCTACTTTTCAGAATGCCGCAAGCGCACCGTAGGTCAAGTGACAAGAACCAACACAGCAACGACAGACGCCTCCGGAGCGCAACCGCCCTAGCGCTTTGGAAAAAGGAGAACGCGGCGTGCAACTTTCAGCTTTCAGTGCAACGTAAAAAAAGCAACAACAAAAAAAAACAGCGGAATATTTTGGTTACGCAAGTCTGTGGAAAACCAAATGTGACGTGCTCTCAAGAGTTTCAGTGAACATTTAACTTAATATCCTATTGCTTTCTCCTGTCTGTGTTGAGTAAATGTTAGGCTTTGTAATATGCCCGGTGTAAAACACTAACATAAGATCAGGGCCATGTAGACTTCTAGGACTACCAATAACTGCATTTCAGTTATTAATAACACTGCATGAGAGATGTTCTCAGTTTCTTTCTATAATTTTTACTTAAACTTCAAACAAACAAACCAAAATAATGAGATTATAATAGATGATTTTCTAAAGGCACATGTAAAATTTGGATTAATAATTTAAAAAAGAGTATTAAAATAAGTACAATAATATTGGTGGATAACATTTGGACTATATTTGTTTTCTTTTAAAAGAAATACATAGGCCTAATATTTAGCTTGCATTTAATTCAATAGAGCCAGCCAAATACTTTGTTTATTCTTATTTTCATTGGGATTTATTATCCCTTTATTTATGTTTTTAAGTCAAATACCAACAAGATATTGTTTTCATGTTATCAAGTTTTCTACCTCAGGTTGAAAATAAATTTAGAACAAACTAAAAACTTAATAATTTTGTGATCTATTTCAATCAAAGAGTCCTGCCTTTGACTTAATTTGTTATTTTTAAAAGAAAAATGCTGGATGTTTACAAAGCACTTCTCTTTCATTCCAAAGGAAGAGATTGATTATTGTTTGCCATTTTATAATTTTTTACTGTGTTGTGGCAGCAATAAATAACACATTAAAATCTAGTGCTGAGTGTTCATGTGATATTATACATTAGTAGTGTTGTGAAATTAATTGATGCATAATAATCGTGATAATCGTTATACCGTGATTATTTCTCAGGCAATAATCGTACTTAGAAAATCTGTAATCGTTACATCCCTAAGTAGAATAAATGAACAGAATGTTTTTTCCCCTTTTTGCTTATTACAATATCTATTAATAATAATAATATTAATAATTTTGTATATAGCACCTTCTCAACTGATACATGCAGATAAAGAGTATTAATCTTGTTACTGATGATAGTATGAAAAAAACAGCCACAGTGGATGGATAAGGCACATTTAAACTATTTTACAGATTGTTTGGGTCGATTTCCATCCTTTGCAATCAATATTTAAAGGATTACAAATAAAAATTGTAAGGTATAAAAATATCCTGAGAATAGAATTGGGTTCTAAAGCGGGTTTGTCTAGATATGAGCCGCAATCCTGAAGGAAACATTCCAATCAGAAAGCGCACCGACTCTAGAGAACACAGTCAATCCCAAGCTGCTTCCAACAACACAACCAATCAGAATGCTGTGATTGCAAACACCTTGATCAGCTGACAGCCAAATGGTGAGTTCAGAGCCATCGAGTTTTTTATTCTTCTTACCGGTCTAATATTGTGGCTCTTATCTCTTTCAGATAAAAACATCCCTAAATTGCACATAACACGGTCACTTCACATCAGGCGTGGATTTATGAAGATTAATGAAAACAATTTTTAATTTTAATAATAATAATAATTGTTTCATGAGAACATTTAAAATTTAAAATATGTACAGTAGCAACGAAAAATAGCTACAAAAGAAAAATATTATGTCGGCATATCACGTGTCAGTCCAGTGATGCTATCACGCAACACCGCGTTAGCTTCGAAAGTGGCGGCAGTTTTCCGTAACCGTTAGGTAGCAGCGCCAACCTAACTGAGCTATGGCTAAACAACTATCATTGACACACTTTTTTAAAAACCGCGTCTAGATAATGATATACTTTTGGACCATGTCATACCTGAGGAGGAGGAGGATGGTCGTGAGACACTTAGTCGCTCTGGGAATGCCGGTGCAACTGTCGCATTTTCATCAAGTCATGCTAGCGTTAATGTTAGCATAAAGGCTGACACTGCATTCCACCGCCACCAGCATCTAAAGAGACAACCGCTACGCCATCGGATCTATCGGCATTGAAGGAACCTGCCTCTCAGCCAAAGCTGTCAACATTTCTGGCTACTGTCATAAGTGGAAAACCATGCTCATTCAACAGCAACTGGTATGAGAAATTCAAATGGATTGAATACAGCAAAGAACGGGACACAGTGTTTTGCAAGGCGTGTAAACATTTTCCGGAGATGCACACAGAGTTTACTTTTATTAAAGATGGCTACAAGAACTGGAAACGTCTCAGAGAAGCCTGTGACAAACATGAAGCAAGCAAGCCCCATGCTATGGCGCTAACTAAGCAAAAATCGTACATGGTCAGTCATGCACCGCAAAGCCGCGGGACAGTTTTGAACCAGCTGCACGGTGACACCCCGTCATTTGTGGAGCGAAACAGGGAGCATATTAAAGTTGTGTTGGACATTGCCATGTTATGTGCCAAGCTGGAAATACCACTCAGAGGCCACAGAGAAACCGAGGATGCACTTAATAAAGGTAATTTCTTAGAGCTCTTCAAGTTCATGTTAAAATATGCTCCAGAAATTGAAAATAGACTGCCCGAAATGCCACATTCATGAGCCACCACATCCAGGATGAGCTGCTTGAAGCTGCAGCATCGATCCTACTCCGTAAAAAAAAGACTGAACTGCATGGGCAATATTTTGCCATACTTGCGGATGAGTGTAAGGATTTAGCTAAACGTGAGCTGGTTGCAGTGTGTGTGCAATTCATACATGGAGGAATCATCAAAGAGCGGGCGGTGGGCTTAGTTGAGGCCGCAGATCTGTCAGCGCAAGGGATATCACAGAAAATCCTGGAGGTCCTTCAACCACTCGAACTGGATCCTGCTCTCTGCGTCAGGTTCTGTTTCGATGGAGCATCGGTCATGTCGGGGCACAAGGGAGGGGTACAGTTTATTTTGAAAGGAACATTTCTTAAAGCCATCTATGTGCATTGCAACTCTCATCGGCTAAACTTAGTGCTTTGCACCGCCGCTAAAGCGTCCGGACATGTGAGT